GGTGATAGAGGATTGCCAGGAGCCGGTAGGAGAGGTAGCTCCGCAGGAGGACGGCTGGGGACATCTTCTTCAGGCCGGGGGACAGGAGGATATCCCATGGGGTCAGAGGATAGATGAGGACGAGGATATGCCAAATGAGAGAGATGGATAGAGACTAGGCATATCCGGGTGCAGCTTGCATAGGAGATCAGTGGAGAGATAGTTAGTGGGCACGGGAGATAGCCTCGGACGGGACGAGTTATGTGACGCGACGATAAAGATGGCGGACAGAGACATACTGAGAGTAACACTCTCCTTGCGACGAGATAGGACAGGCGGCTGGGAAGATGATGCGTTGGACAATGTTGAGCGACAGATCAGACTCATGACGGAGCATGCTCTGGAGATACGGAGAGGCCAGAGATACGTCGAGTTTACCATCTACTTCCATGGAGCTGACGGGAGAGTCCACAGCACCTACTCGACTATTTTGAGCCTAACCGGTAGAGTTGTCTAAGAAGGTAGTGGCGTCGAAAGATCGAGTGTGTCCGAGAGAAGTAGAGTGGCAAGGATTGAGCGACATGCGCCGATGAGGAGCGATTGGGACGTATGGGTGACGTATGTGTTGACACGAGGGTCCGAGGCCCGTAGAGTGATAGATTTCATAGGGCCAAGAGAGGCGGCACTGGGATATGATGTTTCGCTTCCGGTGCGCTTAGAGGAAAGAACTTGGGTGCCAATCCGACATCTCGGTGCTTGGCCGGCGAGAGGGGTTTTCTTGTGGACAGTGATTACGGAGGACCAGGGTTTCCCCGACAGGTGAAGGGTATAGGACATCTTGTGTTTGATAAGGAGAGAGATACAGAGATAGGGCTGACACTTGTAAGCATTAGCAGGATCTAGTGGAGATACGAGATCTTAGCAGAGGTGATAGTGAAAAAACAATAAGCTAACATTGTTGAAGGTAGGCCTTTTACCACGCGAATCGTGGTCGGTTGTCCTCCACAAATTTACCATCCGATAAGGAGCTGGCAGATGTATTGCCCGAGTTTGTTATAGAACAGACTTACGAAGGCGTGGACTGCTTGACAAAAGCAGTCGACCACACTCACCGCGCGTTCTGGCGGGGGCTGGAACGTCGATTCCTAGAAGCGTATTACTCAGTCTGCGTATGGTGGGGACCTCCTGGTAAGGAGATCCAGAGAGACTTGTTAGATGCCACCTGCTGGCTAGACTGTTTGAGACCTGCAGATTTGATTCACTATTGTCAAAGACGCGCAGTAGACAGGTTCATCGGGCTGGAGGACCTAAGATACTTGTTTTTGCATAGCTAGTGGAGGAGATGCCAGGTCGTACGATTACGGGGGTAAATGTGACGAGGCAATTAGTGAACGAGGGTTTCACGATTACTGTTCTACTCAGGGCTCACATAGACGACAACCTAACAGAGCAAGAAAGTTTCCTACAAGCCAGAGAATTTATTCGGGAATACAGACCGGACGTTCTCGAATGTGTAACCTTCCAGACCAAGATAACGTTCGAGGTAATGGTATGGGCGGCTGGGTACTTGCGAGCGGAATTGTTATTTGATGAGACTGTAGCGGAAGCCAGGAGTAGAGTATGAATACCCTGTCATGATGGAGCACGAGCGGCAACTGTATCGATATAGACCTCGAGACTCGTATTCACTTCGGTGGGACCACAGAGGGGCAGAGTCCAGGAGGAGCGTGAGTGAGAGGAACCCTCGAGTAGCTACTCGAGGAATTGAGACGAGGAGTCCCTCTTCTCCGCGACGCCTTCCCTACGCTCGGGTTGTCTCTAGGCAATTAACGTGTGACCAGGAGACCCTACAGATCCTCTTGAGAGTGAGAATAGAAGAAGAACTGTCGGACAGCGAGTTCAAAGAACTCGCGGAAGATGTCATACGGGAGCAGAGACTAGGAGCGTTGAGGGAGTTGATAGTACAGAGCTGGGTGGTTTATGAGGTGATCGTGTGCGTTAAAGGTAGAGTGCGCTTGGAGATAATTCGGGACGAGACACCCGCGGAGGCTCGCAGCAATATGTGATAGAAGTTCTGGGTAAGGAGAGTGATGGATCGCAGAGGATGGAAGATCTTGAAGGAAGAAGAAAGAGAGTAGAAGAGCGTACTATTAAACCAGTGGCAGAGAGGGTTAAGAAACTCTCCTTCAAGATCCAGGACTGCGGGCCTAACAAGGATAGAAGTGAGTTGTGGGGGATAGAAGGGGCAACGAAGGCCTTGAGAAGACTTTTTATAAAGGACAGAGATTTCTTTAGGAGGTGGAGGCTAGAATTTCTAGAGAGTGTCAAGAGAAGGAGTCTAGGGGACGAAGGGTCACTTGAGTCTACGGGAAGGAAAGAGGAATTGATAGAGACTGCAACGTCAGGAGAGAAGCAAGATGTTGCCGAGGGTGTCGAAGAATGAGAAGAGAGGATGAGTAGCGATAGATGTTCTATGCGAGTTATAGGGAAGTTGGAAGGGTCAACTGCTTGTGTTATAATACAGTTGGAGCAACTAGAGAGGCTTACCGTGATCGAAGAAGTAGAGAGCACTAGAGAAGCAGTTCAGAAGGCGCGAGTGACCGGACTCTGGGTAGGAGAGGGGAGTGCACGACTGATTTATTATTCGTTGCATTTATCCCCCTACGATGGAGTGACCCTGAGTAGAGAGTGGCGCGAGTCTCCAGGGAGAGCCGAGAAACTTCTAAAGAGTGAAGCGGAGGTGTCAGGGGACTTTACAAAGGTCGTAGTAGAAAGTTCGGTTCTAAGAATCCTCAAAGCACACGACCAGTACCGGAGTAAGTTTCTTTGGACCTTAGCCGAGATTGAAGACTTTGGGGACATAGAAGATTTGAAACATTTTTTCAGTACTTGGGAGAATCCATGGACCGGATTCTGTTGGCCTTAACTCTAATCGCAGCAGACTGTTAAACACGTCATGGGCAAGAGATGCCATTACCAGAGGCAGAGCTAGCGAGAAGGAGAAGGAAATTTGGAGTCTGGGGAGGTCCTTACGAAACTGAACACGAGAAAATACTTACCGAGTTAAGCGCTTTGGGCGGGCGAGAGAACTTCCCATATGAAGTGATTAAGTATCAGGTACAGAGCAGTGGGATCGAGCGCAATCAATACTTTATTATGACCGTGCGGTTTCATGACTTGGAGGTGTACCACGTTGGTATATATCTGCCTAAAGAGAAGGAAGAATTTTGCATATACGGAAGGACTTGGAGGAGAGTTGCATGGGCATTAAGAGAAGAGGAAAAGAGGTTCAAAAGTTTGGGAAAGGTAGTGGAGGTCTGCGACGACATCGATATATTCGACGGTCTGCCTAGGCCGCCTGTTCAATTTCAAGGGTTAAGGCAAAACAAATGGAAGGCTGTGGTAGGATTCGCTCGGACAGTCAAGGATGACGACAAGCTCAAAAAGACCAAGGATGAATAGGATGCGCGAATGAGTAAAGATACGACCATCCGTGAGCGAGAGCTAGAGGCTAGGAGGGAGAGATTTCTTGTGGGCAACAGACCTTTGGACGCGGAGTTAGCGAGAGTCTGCGACAGGTTGAGTTCTTTGGGGCCAAAAGAGGTGATTCCGTACGAAGTAGTGACATACGAGTTAGTGGACCGCGGATGGGAGCAGATACGTCTTTACATTATCACCATTCGGTTTTTTGCCGCGGAGGTGTATGATGTTAGGATTTACCTCCCAGTTGAACGAGAAGGCGATTTGGTTTACGGTCGATGCTGGGAGTGCGCGGAAGAAGTCGTTGAGAATGAGCGGGATAGGCTCTTAGCGCTAGGTAAGGAGGTAATCTGGGACACCCGGATTACGCTCTTTCAGGGGTTGCCCAGACCTCCTGTGCCGCGTCAGGTGGTTCGAGGAAGAAGCAATGAGGTAGTGGTTGGTTAAGCGCTTCGATACTTTAAGTTTGATGCCCGTAGGGGGTGATTACCCGCGGGCAGGAGCTCTTGTTGTGCATCAGGGGTTAAGCGATCTAGCGCGAAGAGCGTCTATTGATATACGGGAGTACCTGAGATCTTGTACTCGAGGAGAGTTGATGAGGATCGCGACAAGGATTTGTAGGAGAGTGAGGATATCAGAATCGGGAGTCATAGAGATTAGGAGAGGTGTTCCTTGCATAGAAGAGCCGGGAGGAGAACTTTATTTTGACTCAGGAATTTTAGGTATCGAGGGTGAGCACGAGATACGAGACGAGGCTGGGAGACTTGTTGCGATCCTGAGAGCGGTCACGGACGAGTGACGGATACTTTTATAGGTCCAGGCTGCGGATACTTTTATAGGTCCGGGCTGCGGATACTTTCATAGGTCCGGGCTGCGGAATCTTTCATAGGTCCGGGCTGCAGTAACTGTTATAGGTCCGGGCTGTACTCAACTACAGCTTCTGGTAGACTATGGAACCATGCACGATGGGGCCACAACCGACTATGGCCGAAGCGGGTGAGGAGTACCGGACATCGCCCGACCGAGTACTGAGGGATCTGAAGGAACGAATTAGGCAGGAAGCACCGCTGAGATGGGCTGACCAAACCAATGACGGAGAGCCCGACGTAATGTGCGAGCCGGTCGTGACAAGGCCGCAGGAGGCTCTGAAGACTGGGACCTCGAGCGCTCGACGAGAAGCGACAACACTACGCTCCCCTGAGTATGAACAGAGGGAAACCCGGACGGATAGGCGCAAGGACGACTGGAGAGAGAGTCCACGAGATTCCTATTGGAGGGACAGAGACAGGGATAGAGCGCCGCTCTAACGTGTCTTCGACCCCCAGACGGGGGAGTCACATCAGCTCCTTTACGAGAGCAAGGATCGCTATATTATTACGCACAAGGCCTCTGAGCCTCCTACTTTCAGCGGCTGTGGAATCACTGAATATTTGGAGAAGTGGGAGCTTCATGCTTGCCGAAGTCAGTGGTAGGAGGAAGAGATTATATAAAACTTCCTATTCAATGTAGATCTAAGTCTCGGCAAGGAAGCTAAAGAAGCCCGACCGAAGGATGAAAAATGGACTACGTATAAGAAGAACCTCATTGAACTTTACAAATTAAAAGATAACAAGTACTCCATCAAGGACCTGGAGACTATGCCTCAGGATGAGGACGAGAGCGTTCGGGCGTTCGAGAAGCGTTTTCAGAAGATCTTTGACGTACTGATGAAGAAGGGGAAGATCTCGGAAGTCGAGCGCTGTACAATCTTTATTGGACACATGTCCAAAGGTAGACAGAAGAGTATACTTAGAGATCTCCTGCGCGACAAGCTCGACTTCCCTGAAGTCCTAAAGCTCGTGATAAAGGCAGAAGCAGACAACTACAAGGACTTGGTATGGAGAGGAATGAGAAGACGTGATTTATCTCTCTATAAGGAATATGCCACAGATAGATGTCTTGATTTCAAGGACTATCCATGAACGGAAAAGAATGAAGCCGTGGCTGAGGAAGTAAAGGAGATAAGGGACATGGTAAAGGGATTGACAAGACAGGTTACAGAGATTGTGACCACCACAGGAGCCACGACCTACCGGGACAAACCCGGAGGGGCCTATTCACTTCGCTGGGACCGGAGGAACACCGATTCCTGGATAAGTGTCGAGGATAGAAATCCTCGAACGCTAACTGATTATCGTGCGAGGGAGAGAGAGAGAGACGCTGAGCCATGGCGGCGTAGGGATGATGATATAGACCGAGACCGCAGGGCTCGCGAAATGTATGAGCGAGCTAGGAGACTAGATGATTACTCTCGTAACCCTCGCTATGAGGCTGATGGGGGTAGAGGCGACTCTCGAGGCCGGTGGGAGTCGGATCAGGATCGGCGAGACGGATACAGGGACGGCGGATATGAGAGATCGGACCAAGATGGATATAGGGATGGCAGATATGAGAGGTCGGATCGAGATGGATACATAGGTGGCGTGTATGAGAGAGCAGATCGAGACGGAGACCGACGAGATAACTCGCGCGGCCGGTATGACCGTGGGGAATTCCTGAGAGAACAGCGCGACGACTCGCGGGGGTGGTACAACCGAGGAGATCGACGCGATGAGTCACGCCGGCGATACGACTCTGGAGACCGCTAAGACGATTCACGAGGACGATATGGGCAAGAAGGACCTGGAGGAGACCACCGCAATGATTTACGAGGCCGGAATGAGAGAGGGGGATATGGCGCGTCATCTGATCCGTATCCGAAATCCCCTGACCCCAGAGCAGCGAGAGGTTCGACCTCCAAGGGCGCAGACTACTGTAGAGGGGATGATCATATCAAGAGAGATTGTCCGGATCTCAAACGGGCAATAGATGAGGGACTTGTGATGCTTGATGACCGTAAGTACGTAAAGTGGGCTGATGACCTGGGAGACGTATCGATGTTCCCTTCGATGAAGGAGAATGTTGAAGCAAGGAGAGTAAAGCCGAGTAAAGGAAAGGAGCCGGTTAGGAGCCAGAGCATCAAGATAACTTTCGAAGGAGATATGGCAACCACACCCATAAGAATGGCAGCTACCAAGTCGGCGAGAGGCTCTACGTCGAAGAAGACTGACACGGATTACGTGATGGCTGAGAAGGACGGACAGCGGATCGATGGAGAGGAGGTTATTATTTCACCGCGAAAGCGGGGAGTGAAGAAGTTTTTAATGAAGACTTCGCTGGATGAGATAGACACGGTCGAGCCACTGAGACGGGCCCTTCGGCAGCCCATGCAGTGCTTTATTCTGGAGTATCTGGCAGCATCCAAGCCAGCTCTCGGAGTGTTACAGATGATCACGCGAAAGACTCGCATACCTTCATCAGAGGAGGTTCAGATGGCCCCTAAGGCGGATGCTCCTACTGTAGCAGTGTCGGAGGTGACTGCTAGAGCGGATTGCGTGGCGATAGTCCTTCTTGATGGGATGGAAGGTGTGCCTCCAGGCAAGTTTTACATACTTGGTAGTGGGGCCGTGGAGACGATCCTAAACGACGGAGCGGTACTAGATGCTGTGATCGATAACGGCAGTGAGGCTGTCATTATAGACGAGGATCTGGCAGAGCAAGTTGGCCTTGAACTCAATAGGTCATACTTATTTGAGATAGAGACGGTTGATGGGAGAAAGCAACAGATCACCGGGGTTTGTCACAAGGCATCTATAGAGGTCCAAGGGGTACGAGTGACCCTGCCAGTCTTTGCAGTCAAGAACTGCAGCTCTGACCTGCTCTTGGGACAGACGTGGTTGAGACACGTGCATGCGGTGACGATAGAGCGACCGGACGGGAGCCAGACATTGTCCATTAAGAAGCTAGATGGGACGCGGGTTATGATTGAGACGGTGGAGTCTCGAGACGCGAGGAACAGAGCAGCTCTTGCTGTGGGAGCGGGACGCGGTGATCGGATTAACTCATTACCTATCTCCGACCACGCGGTGCGATTTCACGAGAAGAAGTATGGACCTCTGCTCACAAAAGAAGAAGGCCAGATTGTAGAAGTGGAAAACTTCGGGAGTCGGCTGATAGTGGATGGCAACTCGTATCCAAAGAAGGCAGATGAGGAGTTTGGCGGCGTGATATCTGTGTCTTTTTTAAGGGCACAGCCCCCTACGGAGGGCGACCAAAAAGACACAAGACAGTAGCTCAGAAGGTAAAGCCCGCGGCCGTAGCTCGTGAGCGATCAGCTTTAGATGGAGTATCTGAGGAAGAAATCGCTAGAGAGATTAAGGAAAAGAAGAGAAAGGAGCCGCAACGACTGGTGGAAAAGAGGATAGCGGAGATGGACATAGGCGATGGGAATCTAACTGAGCTGGAGAGAGAGCGAGTGTTGGAAGTTCTTAAGTCATGGGACAAAGCTATAGCATTCAGTGATGTGGAGAGAGGAAGGATTGATCCTAGATATGCTAATCCGGCAAGAATCTACACGATTCCGCATACACTATGGAATGACGCAGGGTGGAAGTTTGCTCAGAAAGAGAAGGAAGAGGTGATTTCCTTTCTCAAAGAGAAGATGGCATCGCACGTAGCTGAGCCATTTGATAGCGCGTACGCGAATAGATGGTTCTTCTTAAGGAAGCCCAACGGAAAGATTCGGTTGATTCAAGACCTTCAGAAGGTCAATGTTGTGACGATTCGGGATGTAGGCTCGGTACCGCACGCCGACCTATTAGCAGAAGGGGCGGCAGGCCGATCCATTTATTCCGTCTGCGATTTATTTTCAGGATATGACGAGATACCACTGGATCCGAAAGACAGACATCTCACGGCCATGCACACGCCGCTCGGATTACTGTAGATGATGGTCGTTTTGATGGGATGGACCAATGGGGTAGCGGTCTTTCTGAGAGTCATGGTAGCGGTTCTGAAAGATTTTATCCCAGGTTAAGTAGAAGTTTTTTTGGACGACTTCCAGATAAAAGGACCGGTGTTGAAAGATGAGACGGAAGTTGCTCCTGGCGTCAGGAGGTTCGTAAAGCAGCATCTGGCAGATATTTACGCTGTCCTGGAACAGCTAGATGAAGCTAACCTGACAGTTAGCGGCACAAAGAGCCGATGGGCTGTATCGACGATCAAGATTTTAGGTTTTATATGCGACGCGAAAGACCGACGGCCCGACTCTGGAAAGTTAGAGAAATTGTTGAACTGGCCGACTCCTTTGCAAAGTGCTACCGAAGTCCGTCAATTCTTAGGGGTGTAGGATATTGGCGGATTTTCATACACGGATATGCGGAGAAGGCAGAGCCTCTGCGCACTCTTCTTAGGAAAATCGAGAAGTTCTACTGGGATTCTTCTCAAGAGTTTGCGGTGCAATCCCTCAAGGAAGAATTTAAAGAAGGTGGCCGAATTCTAGGTGTGCCATTCTTTGAGGACGAGACGGACAGATCGTTCATAGTGTCTACGGACGCTGGACCATGTTCGGTTAGGGGATTGCTATCTCAGAAGGATGCTGAAGGGAGAGAAAGACCATTGAGGTTCGAGAGCCGAACACTCAACACTGCTGAGCGCAACTACAGTCAGTTTAAGAAGGAGGTGTTGATTGTTCTAAGGTGCTTGGATACCTTTAGACATTACATATACGGGAGACGATTCGTTCTTAGGGTAGACCCTACAGTTGTAGCCTCAGTCCTACAGAAGGATTTCAGTTTGACGGATCCTGCGATCGTACGATGGCTGATCAGGATTCGACTTTATGATTATACTGTAGAAAGAATTTCAGGGGTGAAGAACGCTGTAGCCGATGGACTTTCACGAATTCCCATCGAGACAGAGCGACCGATGTCTGTTGTTGCCCTGACTTTGGTCGAGCCCAAACGAACGGATCGCTTCCTAGTCAACCTTTATGAAGATAAGTACCGTACTATAGGACTGCATCTGTTAGGAGAGGAAAGCACTGATTCGCACATCCAAAGACAGAAGACACAATACCGCCTTAGAGCTGGACATTTGTTTCGTCGACCTGTGGGAGCGGGGATGCCTCTTCGGGTGATCTGTGATCCCGAGGAGAGACTGTCGATAGTGGCTGAGTTACATGATGGTGTGGTCGGAGGACATAGAGGAGTAAAAGGTACATATGAGAAAATTCGCAGACTATATTGGTGGGAAGGGCAGTACAAGGACGTTGAAAAGTACTGCGAAACGTGTGAGGATTGCCAGAGGAGGTCCCTTATTAGGTATAAGGAACCACTTCACCCTTCTTATCCCACTAGACCAGGAGAGAAAGTGCATATTGATCTGGTAAAAATGTCAAAGGGTGTAGGGAATATGAACTATGTAGTCAACATCAAGGATGATTTCACTGGCTTCGTCGATGGTAGGCCTATCAGGACGAAAGCAGCAAGAGAAGTTAAGAACTTCGTCCTGGAGTATCTGTGTGATATAGATGTGTTAGTAAGATTATGATGGATAGAGGAGCAGAGTTTCTAGCAGACGAGGTACAGAGTGTATTCAAGAAAGCTGGAGCCAGAGTATTTATTGCTACCGCCTATCACCCTCAGTCAAATGCACCTGTAGAGCGAGGTCACCAGTCATTGATTGCGTCCTTATCCAAGTGGTGTAGAGGAAAGGATAGCGAATGGCCGAAGTATTTCAGGTACGCGATATGGGCGGACAATGTCACTGTCCGAGCTAGTACGGGCTACCCTCCTTACACTCTATGGTTTGGAAGGCACTGTCCCCTGCCTATAGAGTTTCACGTTGACAGTTGGACCACGGTTAATTGGGCAGATAACATGACACGAGAGGAATTACTAGGAGCCCGGACTAGGCAGATAGCTTACGGACTAGAAGACAATCTTATGACCGCGGCCGATCGACTAGCAGTAGAAAGAAAAAAGAACAAAGTGATATGGGACAAAGACGTCAGAATCAGAAAGGAAAAGAACAAGGTTGGTGACATGGTGCTCCTCTACGACGCCGCTTTGAAAAGGACATGGACTGGGAAACTGGCTAATCGATGGATGGGACCCTATCGTGTAGTTGGTGCGTTAAGCTGGGGAGCCTATATGATTGCTGAGCTAGATGAGTCAAAGTGGAAGGATCCTGTGGTGGGAGCTAGACTGAAGTTGTTTAGGTCAAGGAAGGCTCCTACTCCTGCTCCGAGACCATCAGATCCTAAAGGGAAGGGTAAAGCTAAGGTAGTAGACAGAGGACCATCGCGACATTTCGAGGTAGGTGAGAGTTCAAGGAAGAGGAAAAGGGTCGAGACTAGCAAAGTGAAGGGCCTAACGCTAGGTAAGAAAAGAAAATGGATTTTTGTTCTACAAAGGCCTAAGAGAAGAGTCCGGATTAGGAGGACTGGCACAGCTGTCACACGAGTTCCCCTACGAAAAAAGAAGCGGAGAAATATTCCGGTATCAAAGTCCAAACGACAGCGACGCAAGAGAGGAGAGAAGCACCTTCTCAGCCCCAGAATTCATGAGAGACCCAGACGTCAGACAAACAAGAGGAGGCACTTGTGTCGAGCACGAGCGGTCCACTTAGATCTGGTGCGTTTCGTCTGACCTTGGCGGAGCGGGCTCGACAGGGACGTCGAGAGGAGGTCCGGGCTTGTTTATCGGGGGACCGAAGGGTAGTCGGTCGCTCTAATACCGGAGGATTGACCCGTAGAAAGGTCGTCTGAGAGGGAATCCACCGGGAGTCTTGTCCAACCGGTTGGGAGAAATTAGGGGTAGTTAGGCCACCCCTAATTTTGGATGTGTCAACCGTCAGGACCAGCCATAGAAATTGGCGAGAGGGACTACCGCTTCGCCGCCCTCACGGCTACCTTATTGTCTACCTCATTTCCGCCCGCTCTAGGCCTGTCCCCGAAACGACTCGCTGCGGGGTGGTTAATTGAGGATAAGCCTTGACGAGGCCCTTTTACAGTGTCCAACGGGTGCGAGGAAATGGCCCCCCATTTAATTAAATTTAATATTAAAATTAAAAATAGGGAAAGGAATTAAAAACAAAAGAAAAGAGGAGAAAAACGAAATATTCATTGATTTATTTAAAATCTTCGATATTTAATTTTAAATATGATCGACCTCAATTATTGATGTATCTGACAATAAAAATTAAAAACATAAAAAAAAAAAGCAAAAGCAATAAAAGAGAAAAGAAACAAAGAATTTTCTTTATTTAATTGGATTTTGTCGGGATTTATTTTCGACAGGATTACCCTTATTTTTATTATTTTTAATAATCGGATTAAAAAATAAGAGAAAGAAATAAATATAAAAAGAAGGAAGAAAAACCATGATTATTGACTGATTGCCGGGATTTTGCTCCGTTTATCCGCGATTGGAATTACCCTCGGATTATTTATTTATTCTAATTCTCACGATTTTCGCTATTTTGCGATGATTGGGATTTGCACGCCTGGCTTACCTGATTTCCCTGATTTCTAATATGACCGTAACTTGTGTACTATGAGTGCGGGATGGGCGGACGCGTGGCGTTACCGCTATGATGGTTGATTGTGCATCGCGCCATTACGTCAGTGTGGGTGCCGCTTCGGTTCGGACATTCTACGTCATTCGATATATTTCAGACTCGGTACTGGTGCGGCATCGACATGGTTCGGTTGTCTCATGTTCGCTCTTGGTTCGGTTCGGGACAGGTTCGGTTTTACCCCGGAAAGGCTACATTCTACGACGTTCAGTACGCGTAGGTACGACATCATACAAATGTGGTTTATTCAGGTTTGGCACGATGTTCGATATATTTCATAGGCGGCATTGCCTCGACATTGACGTGCCTTGGGGTTGTTACCATCACTTGGATGCGTCTTTGTACGACATTCTTCGTATTTTTTGGATCAGTATGGCATCTGCAATGATTCTGTGTGTCCCTTTCAGGTACGGTGGAGGTTCAATGCCCCTAAGGAGGTGCGTCATTCCACAATATTCCGCATGTTTCAGGTTTGCTGATAGTTCAGGGTCGGCATGGCACGGTGCAATGTTACGCTGGTTTGAGACAGGGTCGACACGCTATGCTGGTACAAGTAATCTGCATTGGTCTGTTACGGTACTCAGGCTCGGTATTGGTACGGTATTCGGCGACAGGCTGACACAGGCTGATGTTGAGGCCCTACATTTATACACTACAGTCTGCTGCAACTTGGGATGTTTGTTTCGGGTTCGAAACCCATACAGCAGTGATACGGACTGCGGGGGTACTAAATAACAGTG